AAGAGTGTGAGTAAGCAAAGGCCACGGGCTCATGGGGGCCAGGGATCGACCTTAGCTCTGCAGTAGTTCATGGGGGCGCCTTGGAGGCACGCTGGGACAGGCAGTGGCCTGTCAAGTAACTTTTTTTGGCCCCCTTGGAAAATTCCAGCCTAAAAAATGTTGGCCTGACTCTTTCTAAAAAGATCTATGACAGACGAAGCTTTTTGCGGATGGTCTCTTCTATTGGTTGGGAAATTTTTAGACTACTTTCCAATGCACGGCATTTAACTTCAGGTCACTGTGTTCTTCAATGCTCTGCATTAGAAAGATTGTCTAAACCCAGCCCAACCGTGCTACTGGTGCACTAAAAGGTATTACCCTCCAAAAATCCTCATCTCATATATTTCCTAGACTAGAGTGTGGCAAGTGAAGGCATTGTGCTTGGCATGCGTGCCTTGGGGCAGATGGCAGGGAAGGGGGCCAGGGCTGCACTGCCGCAACAAGGATCGGGCCCCTCGTGGCTCCCTTGCCATCCGCCCAGAGGTGCACGTGCACCCGCCACCAGCAACAAGCCAAGCTGGGGCTCCACAGACCCCGGTGCAGATGCTTACATCGTGGCTCCCTCACCATCTGCCCAGAGGTGCACATGCACCCGCCACCAGCAACGAGCCAAGCCAGGGCTCCACAGACCCCATTGCAGCTGCTTGCACCTGCTGTAAGCAGCCTGGGCTAAGTGGCAGGGGCCTGCCCAGAGCCCAGACCAGCCGTGGCAGGCAGGCAGGAGCGCGGAGCCCTGGCCCAATTCATTGCTGGCAGTGGGCGCACGCGCGCCTTGGGGCAGATGGCAGGGTTGCACTGCCACAACAAGGATCAGGCCCCTCCTGGCTCCCCCGCCATCCACCCTTGGCATGCCAGCATCTTACAAGTCGAGGTTGGTCTGTTTTTGACACGGCCCAAAAATGTTGCCAACCCCGGTCCCGCAACACTGATCCAACGCTAGGTCTCTACGTATTTTTGGATGCCAACCTGGAGATCTTTGACGGGCATTTCAGAAAGTACCAGATACCTATTGGGTGTCTGCGTGGACGCGCCTCCAAAGGAACCCAATTTGTTTCGTTCATTTTTTTGCATCCAAGAACAGTGTCCAAGAATCGCTCAGCACTGTCGTGGAATGAATAAGTGAGAGTCTGCAATGAGGCATGGACTATTTCATACATAACTTGCCCTTCCCTTAATTTTTAACTTGGGAAGTAACTAGATGGTGGTGATTCATAGAGAAGGACCGAGGGTTTCGTTTTTTGGGGGGTTTTTTCCAATATTTGCTTGACTTAGAGTTGTTGCAGCAGGCCAGATCAGAGGCAAAGTGCATCCCTCTTCAAGAAAGGCTTATCTAGACCAGGGGACTTGTAATACAGAACTGCACTTGTTTAATTTATCCAGCAGATTTCACACCAGTGGCCCAGATTAGACCAGTTTGTATCCCATGTACATGTAAGCATTGAGCGTCTTCTGTTCGTTTGGAAGGGTAGGTAATGTTTCTGGGAAGAATTAATGGTTGATAAGAGTTGATTAATGATTGAGACCTTTTTGAGCCTGCTTGTGGATAGCAATGTGAGGATAGACTTGACTTCGTGGAAGAACTTCATTGAGCTAAAACACAGCGGGGTCTACTGTCTTCCGAGAGAGTACACAGTATGTTTGTCAGTTTGAGGTTGAACACTGCCTAGGTTTGCAAAAAAGGTATTGCCAGCTGCCCACATTTCATCTGGTCTCTCTGCTAAAACTCATTTCCTTGGCATATGCTTTATTGCATATTTTACATATTCATCCTGGACTGTAAATAGGAGCTTAAAGATCTCTCACTGGGTTCTTAATGTGGCCATTATGAGCAGAATTCCTTGGTGGGTTTTTCCCACCTGAATGGTATGTCTTGTTGGCAACTTTTTCAGACCCCAGGTTTTTGTGGCCTCTGTTCTTGTTGACATTGTGCTGCAGAGCTTGGGGAAACAGCAAGGAAAAGTCCACAAGTGTTTTAATTGAATCCAAACAGACCAAGGTTGTCTGAAGATTTTTTTTCCCCCCACCGAGTTTCCCACTTTAATTACAGAAACGTAGCTCTCTTAAAAATCAAGCTTGGTCAGTATGGTGTTTCTCCTACCTCCTTCCTACAGAGCACTTTCAACCAGTGCTCAACTTGAAATGATACCCCTCCATGAGGACAGCCCAGCTCTCCCAAGTTTCTCCTGCCCACACCTGCCAACCAGGGGTGTGAGACCAAAGCTGTGTAAGCAGTAAAAGACCTTGCCCCTGATTCTGCACTGCTTGGCTCCGTCTATGGCTCTTTCAAAGCGAGCCTAAAGTGTTAAGCTGCCAGCATCTTGTGCCCATGTTGCCCGTGTACAAATGACACAAAGGTCCCACGCAGGGCAGTTGGGCTTGGCTTTGCCCCGTGGTTTGTAGTGGGGAGAATCCAGGTGACTCCCATGGGCGACTGGTGCCTCCTGAGTCTGGGGGAGCACCAGCAGGGCACGCCCAGAGGGGAGGGTCCCCCAGCGGTCAGCTAGCAACCGGGAGGGGGTCCCCCAAGCACACCAGCTGCCCAGAGCCAAATTCAGTGGGGGCACAAGCACTCTCCGTGCCCCACTACCAGCTGGAGCGCATGCTGTTGCGGGGGGGGCACATACCCCCCCCCCCCCCCCCCCAGCCTCTACTTCGCCTCACCTATGCTTCTCCCCATTTGCCCTCTCATTCAGAGAGAATTTAGTGAAGCCAATAGTGTCCCCGCTGCCCCCATCTCAGTTGGGACACGACCTCGGATCCCCCGGTAGAAGTGGAGGCTGCACGGACAGCTCTGCATATCTGTTGCAGCTTTGCTCAGAGAGAGCGATTGCTCTCCTCCGACTGACCTGGCAGGTCATGTTGGGAGAGGCTGCCTGTCCCTGCGGGGAGAGCAGACACACAGGCACATGAGACGACCTGTCACAGGGTGATTGATGGATGTAAAAAAAAAAAGAAAAATCTAACCAGCTCGGAAAATTTAAGTGGCGCCTCTCTCCCGAGTACAGAACAAACAGCTCCCTTACATAACAGGGCGTAGCAGAGGGACCTGCCATGTGTGCTTTTAAGAAAACCAGAGTTTACCCCAATGCTCTAGGAATTACAGGTCAAAGACTTCTCTTCTTCACAAGCCGGTACCAATAAACTAGTGTAAAGTTTGTGAGCCAGGGCCCCGTCTAGAGATGCAAGAGCCCTGAGTAGAAAGAGAGGTGGTGTGGGGGTGTCTAAAATGTCCCATGCCATTGGATTCTAGCATTATTAGTGTCTACACTGCAAACCTAGCTCTGGCACGTGGTGTTAAAACTTGGGGGTACCATGGATACTGCAGGATACCGTGCTGTCCTATATCAGCACGGCAAACTGTCCAGAAAGCTTTGTTTCATGGCCAAAACCTTGAACTGTCCTAGCTTTTCAGTAAAGGAACAGAGAGCAAAGCTGCAGACGGAAGGAACTGAAGGTTATTTTTTTTAATGATTGTTTGATCTTGGCACTTCACTGCAATAACACGTATCAGAAAGGGATAAACCAGTATTTATTGTGCATTAAATCAGGCTTTTCCAAATACATGGCCAAGCTTGTTCACGGCATTTCCACAACAGGAGGTGACCAACCCCCTTTGGCAACCTGGTGTTTTTCCACTGACATGGTCTTGTAATCATTATACAAGCAGCCTTTGAGGGAGCAAATATGTTGTGCTCTATTTAAAACAAAATCATCTCAATGTACCAAGCAACCTGGATGAGCTAATGGCGTCGAGTCCTGGCACCCAGCTGAGTGCCGGCTGAAGCAGGAGCAAGTTGGTTGCAAACAAGGGCATTGCACCCAGTGGCTGCTGGTTGGTGGGGCTGGTGGGACAGTTGGGTAGTGGTGTCACTGGGATTTGGCCTTCAAAGCTAGGCCGTGTGCTGCCTAGCAGTTAACTTGCAACGGATCCGTTTAGCAAAGTATTACTTTATTAATGAAAGCTAACCCAGAGCAACTAAAAATAGCCCTTGCCAATGGACTTTGCTGCTTGTTAACAGAACAGGAACCTGCTGTACTTTGGTTATTTTTAGGCCAAACCAGAGGGTGGGGGGTGTTTCTAACTCCATGCACGAGGAACTCCTCTTCCTATTGCTGCTTCCTTTTTATGGGAGATCCCTCCTGCCCGGGTGCTTCAGGAGCTGGCGGTAGCAGCAGAGGGAAAGCAAGCTGGTTTTGATCAGGGTGTGAGATGGGAGAAAAACTGGAGGAATCCAGAGAAAAAGGGGAGGCAAGGGAACAAGGAGGAGGCAACATTTGGGATCAGTAGAGGGTGAGCCACCTCACTACACCCGACCACCTTCCAGATTCAGAGTGCCTCCCTAGGGGTGCCTCACATCTGGCCGACCCCCTTCCTGGAGCACACTCACTAGCCTGGAGGTACCGCTGCCACCACCCAGAGTCTGGACTGATCTTGGACCTGCGCCCTCTGGGAAACACAGGCCTAGTAGTCCTTGAGGGTACTTGACCCACTGCAGGAACCTGGGTACTTCCCTCAGTCTGAAGCACAAATAGTGGTCTCCTTTAGTTGGTCAAACCAAGGGGACACCAAGGCATAATTTAGGCACTCTTCTGGATGAGCGGCCTTAATTTGAGATCTAGGAAGAGATGCCCCATGCTCCCTACTCTGAGTGGTGATGTCGCTGCAGTGCTCATTCCCTCAACCCAAGGATGTTCTCCTGCCTGTGGCTGCAGCCCAGGCACCGAAGCCCTTGCTGGGAAGCTGGCTGTATGGATGATCCATCATGGTTTGGCACATGTCCGGAAATTAGGGATGTGAAGAGGTGTGGTTCCAGAGGGAGGGACGCTACATGGCTTGAGCAGCCAGTGGGAAGACAGTATCAGCAGCCACATTTATATCTACTGAGGCTTTTGGGGAAACTGAGGAGCAAGAGGGCTGGGTTTTTGCCCCGGATGTGATTAGGATAAATGCATGGGGATAAAAGGACCCCAAAATATGAGAAGGCAAATACTTTACACCAGGGGCTGCATAAGCACAAAATAAATCCAGTCCCCTTCCTGAGGAGGCAGGAGACAACAGCTGGATGCAGATATGGGGAGCATGAGGAAGGCCCAGCTGTTGGCCAGTACAATCCATGGTTTCTATGTAATAGCTGCCTGCCTATTGTCTGGGTTTTTTGGAGGCCTCGCTGCAGAGGAGAGCACGAAGGCAGAAAGATGTTGCTCCCCTTGCCGATGTGTTCATGGGCCGTTTCCCCCCATGCAAAGAGGAAGAGAGGGATTTTGTGGCAGGCAAAGTGCTGACCCATGCCCCTCCACCTGTTGTTGTACCACCGAAACGTGGCGGTGATAAACCTCGGCCGGCAGCAAATCTGAGCCCAAACTGGGAGGGAAAGAAGGGTTCAGGGTGTGTCAGGCTCCAACTGAGCGAGGCCGTTAGCAGGGCACGGAAGCAGATGTAGATGCAGGCTGAGGGTAGAAAACCTGAGTCCGTGGATGTAGCTGTGGCAGCAGGCAAGTAACTGGAAGGGAAGCTGGGGTTCCCGGCAGGACAGCACGCACTGGGATCGTGCTGAACTGAGAACTGGGGTTTCCTAGGAATTTGGGAGCAATAGAGTTGCAAGGAAAAGTTGGGGGGTTAGAAGGAGACTTAGACTCGGCAGAAGCTGCTATCGCCACCCTGCGTACCTCGGTGCCTAGCATACTCAAACCTGGCACTGTTCCCAGTATGTTAGCAAATATCCGTGGTTTCCATACTGCTTTATCTCAGGTTGGTAAAGCACAGTGCAAATGCTTGGAGCTGTGCAAGTGGTGCTGAGCAAGCGCAGGCTCTTCAGCGGCCCAGAAAGCCAAGCTGTGTCATCCTGAAATGCTCTTTCCACGTTCTCCGTTTGCAAAACATGCAGCAGTTTGCTAGCATGGAGGGGTAGGCAGCCCTTGCTTTGGACAGTGATAGATAAGGCTATTTCCCACGTGAAGCTTTAAGGATGGGCGCTGTTCCCCACGGTGTCTGTAAAGTGCCTCTGAACGCTACTGGAAAACAATTAATTCACTGTTCCTTCTCTCCTGAAAGATGGCTAGCAGCTAGACCCCACCACGGGAGAAGGGACATCAAGAGGGCCCCGCCAAGTTAATCTGTCACCCCACGGGGCCTTCTTGAGCTTGATCTTTGGAGGAGATGGCAAGAATCTCGTTGCCAGCACGGTCACTAATTCAGTGCATTTGACGTCGTTCTGACTCCTCCTGGCGCCAACTCAGACACAAGCCTGTGTTTTTATGAGCTAAGATGATGGATAGGTCCTTTGATAATATATGGGTGGACTGCTCTTGTGAGCCAGAAGGCCGGGTCTCTTGCTGCTCTGCTGTCACTTAGCACTTTCCAGAGTTTCCAGGCTTTGCCGAGGTGTCGGTGCACAGTGAGACTTCCTCTGTCTGCACGTGCAGGTATTTATATATCCCTCTTCATTGCAGCATCTAACCCTTTGCCCCTGTGATGCAAGGCCTGAAACTCCTCGCCACTCGGGGTGTCTTGTTGCCACCATCACCACTACCTTCACAGCAAGCTTTGTGGAAGGGAACCCAGGCTTGGCCTGAGAGGCTGTCTAACCTGGGTTGTTGTTATGCCTCTGAAGACCACATACTATGGAAGGGACTGAATGAATGCAACTTACTGCTTGTTCCACCCTTTCATTGGCATGAACTCAAAGGACCTGGGGGTTACGGTGGACAACAAGCTGAACAGGAGCCAACAGAGTGAGCCTTGTTGCCAAGAAGGTTAATAGCATCCTGGGCTGCATTAGTAGGAGCGTTGCCAGCAAATGGAGGGCAGTGATTCTTCCCCTCTATTCAGCCCTGGGGAGGCCACATCTGGAGTCCTGTGTCCAGTTTTGGGCCCCCCCACTACAGAAAGGATGTGGGTAAATTGGACAAAGTTCAGCGGAAGGCAGCAAAAATAGTTTGAGGACCGGGGCACATGACTTGTGAGCAGAGGATGAGGGAACTGGGCTTATTTAGACTGGAGAAGGGAAGACCAAGGGGGGATTTAATAGCAGCCTTCAACTACTTGAAGGATGGGTCCAAAGAGGATGGAGGATTGTTCTTGGTGGGGGCAGGTGGTAGAGCAAGGAGCAATGGGCTCAGGTTGCAGCAAGGGAGGTTTAAGTTGGATATTAGGAAGAACCTCCTCACGCAGAGGGCGGTGAAGCACTGGAGCAGGTTACTCAGAGGTGGTAGACTCTCCATCCTAGGAGGTTTTTAAGACCCTGCTAGACAAAGCCTTGGGTGAGATGATCTAGTTGGGGCTGGTCTTGCTTGGAGCAGGGGGTTGGACTAGAGGTGACCTCCTGAGGTCCCTTCCAGCCCTCATGTTGTCTGAGTCCATGAACTCTGCTTCACACAAGGGGCTCCTTGACCTCTTCTGCCAAACCCATGCCCTAGCCCTGCTTGGCAGAAACAGGGTAGGAAACTTGGGGTGTACAACTTTTTGCATCCCTTGCCCATGCTGTCTTCTGTCTCATGCCCAGAGACGGGGCTGGGGGGGGGTTCCCACAGCAGCGTGTGCAAAAGGAGGAAGAGCAGCGAGTCTAGTCGCGGGATTAAACTGGAGGCAGCGTTAGCCAGGGCAGTGGGGCAGAGGTGAGCGAGCTCCGCCGGGAATAAGCTTGCGGAAGCCCTGGCACAGAGGGGACCGGAGCGATGGGCTGCCAGGCAAAAACAGCATGTCCTCCAGCAAGGCAAGAAGCCAAAACGGGTGGTGGGAGGGGGGGAACAAAGTGGGGACATCTGTTGCTGTCACTAACCTGGTGCTATAAGAGCAGGAGGAAGCAGCAAGGTTAATTCTGCAAAGCAAAACGGTTCCTCGCTCCCATTCATTTAAATTCGGCAAAACCCTTTTATTCCACCTCTTTTTTTTTTTTTTTTTTTTTTTTTTTTTCCTTGAGGATCTGTTGCTGAGACCCAAAAGGATGTCAGAAGGCTGTTTTCAGCTCAGTTCCCAAGAATCCCCTTTTCTAAAAACTATAAAGCAGAAAGGGTATTTCCCACTCTGCTCCGTTTCCCCGAAAAGCAGAGGAGCCTGGCGTTGCAAACAACAGACCCAAGTCGCGGAGCGCACTGCGCTGAGCGTCCTCTGCAGAGAAAACACAACTGTCAGGCTTGGCTTTCAGGATGCTGGAAGCCGGCAAAGAGGCAAACATGTAATGGGAGGATGAAAAATGAATTATTCCCGTTCACCAGCAATTTATCCACGGGTTTTTTCCCAGATTGTAAGACCACAGTGCTGGGACTAGGTCCACAGGGCTTGGACCCACCTGCTCAGAGCCACGTTAAGCACTCTTTACTCTTGTGCTCCTTGATGGTTAGGGCTGGATTTCCCCCACCCCCCAAAAGACACTTGAGAAAGTCAGTGGGAATTGGGCAAACCCTTCTCTTGAATTGCCTGCTCTCATTGTTTGGAACAGCTGTGCATATTCTCGCCAGGGAAAGCACGCCTCGTACAGCCAGTGCTGCAGCTGCTGTACATGTGAGACGGCTACTTTTGCTTCCTTTTGGATGTTGGCTTCGTTCTTCTAAGAAATAGGTGGCTTTTTGTGGGGCTGATTCGCGCATTGGCCAGCTTGCTTTAAAAACCTTGTGGAGAGCCAGCACCTGGAATTTTACCCTGGGGGGCTTCAGTTATTAAACTCCAATATGTCTAGTGGTAAAAAAAAAAAAATGCAGGTGCTTTTTCTCCACTAAAAATGTTATCAAGGGGTGAATGTCAGTCTGAGGTTGCTGCGAGGGAAGTCAAGAAGGCCTCTGTGTTGCCAGAGCTCATGGTTTCATCCCAAGTCTTCCCATCTTCCCCCTCCCCTTAAATCCCCAGCTCCGGGAGTCCTGTGATCAAGAGAATCTCAGCTTGCTTCTTATGGCGAATAAAACAGGTTCCTAGCCCTGCTGCCTGCCCAGAAAAGCTTGAAAAGCGTGAACCTCCCAAAGTTCAGGCCAGAAGGCACGTCCAGGGTGATTCATGGCTAGGAGGCATGGCAAGCTCTGGAGGTGGGTTCTGTGTGCACGGGGGCATGAAACGGAGACTCGCTGCATGTGGATTATGCATGCATCTGACTAGTAACACCTTGACGTGTTACAAAGGCGGCCAGCACAGGGCCTCAGGTGTGCAAACGGCAGCTGGCTTCTGCAGGGGTGGTTCTCCAGGCACAGCCCAACAGTGCCATGGGATCCTTGCCTTTATGGCCCATTTGCCTCCTCGTAGTAAATAGCCATCGCTGCCAAAACACTGATGATAGCGGCCGAGCACTGCTGCACGTGCGCATGCATGTGCACACACACATGCAGAGGTGCGCCCACCACACTCTATTTCTGACCAGCAATGTGCAACAAAAGCAAACAGCAGGTTTCCCAACCCACCTGCTACTAGCTGGCCAGTTCCTCATAGCTGTTGCAGAAGGCAGTGGCTCGTGGGGAAATTGCTGAAGAAGGCAAGGAGCCTTATGAATCAGCTGAGGGAGGTCAAGACGAGAGCTACCGAAATGCAAGATGGAAGGATCTGCGGGGAGGGGCGCAACGGGAAAAGCGCCAGGGTGGAGGGAGGGAGGGAGTGCATTATAATCAGGACCTGAACATTGAAACTGCCTTCCCCATCCACTGAGAAAAGGAGCCAGGAGCCCCCAGTTCCAATTCGGACCCCACCACAGACCTGATCATTGACTCTAATGCTGCTTGTGCCTCAGTTTCCCTCCCTGGAGCAAGGGCCTGCTTTGGACCGGCCTCAAGGGCAGGTGGGAACGTTTGGCAATGCTTGCCAAGCAGGCCAGACCTGCTGAAGGCGTACCTGCATAGTCAGCATCAGCAGCGCATATCACCTGGCCTTTTTCCAGGGGAGTTTACCAGACATGTAAGATCTTTTGCAGAGCCCATTCCTGTGCATGCAGACTCTCCCTTTCCTCCTCCTCGCTGGCTACCCCCGTTCTGCAGGCTGCACTGGGGAATACATCTCGGGATATCTTCCCTTTTCTCCCTGTGCTCGTTGCCTTCACAGAGCACACGTGCCAGCAGTGAGACCCACGCAGGGGCTGGGGCAATGAGGGGATGCTGGAGTAGTGAAGGAGGCGTCTAAGCCAAGCACTGATGGGACCAGGAGGAATTTGACAACCAGTCTCTCCAGTTTGGCCAGTGGTGGCAATGCCGCAGCATTGGTAGAAAAGCAGGTGCAGGCTCTTCTGTGACCCAGTATGGAGCTGCACTGTATTGCCCAGTGCAGGCCAGCAAGGCAGGCTAGGTGAGCCCAGAGGTTGCTCCTGGCCCTGGCATACCCTCCTTGTCTCTATTTGTATGTTATATATGGACATACACATGCACGCGATATGCCTCGGGCACACCGAGTCCTGCAGCAGCGCTGTACCCTGCCCTGTCATGGGGGGTTATGATTCATCAGGCTATTTATACATTCGCATAGTCTCGCATCCTGAAATTTTGTTTTTTCTGCTCCCAGCCCCTCTTGCCTAACCCTGAATCACCACCACCGCGGTAGGTTTGTCTGTGCGCTGGCTTGACCGCAGGCTCAACCCCGGTCCTGCTGTGTTGTGACCCACTTGATGTAGCTCGCCCCTACTTCTGCCTATCCAGCGCCCACCTTGTTCATTTTACCCTCTCTTATTCCCCGTAAACAGGAGCGGGTGGTTTTATTTCAAGCCAGGCGCTGGTAGGTAGCGAGCGTATGCAGGGGCCTGGGTGGGCTCTGCAGAGCATCTGTGTTGCTCCGTGGAAAGCCACCAAATCCTGCAAAAAGAATAGCAATCTGAACCCAGGAATCCAGCCCTGGAGAGACCAGCGCTGGGGATGGGCCAACTGGAGATGCTTTCGCTCTGAACGGATAGAAAGCCATTGTCGCCTCTTCCCCGTCCTCTCCCAGCTGCTCGCCGTTTGAGTAGCGAGCACTTGACTAGAGAATTCATTTTGTGCTTCATGTTTTCACTTATCCTCTTAACCCTTGACTACATTTTACCGACTGCCATAACTCTGCAGCCCTCCCACAGTCCCGCGGTGGCGATAAAAGGGTATTTTGCTTAATTGCGTTTTTTTAATACGTCGAGACTTTTGTGTTCCCGCCTGCTCATTGTTCAACAAAGAGTGCCGGGGAACGATCGTGAGAATTTATGACTGCTAGTGGGCAAACCTCAGTGCAGTGAGAAATAGCCGCGAGAATTATTCATGAAGCAGCTTGGACAGATATAATATAGATAAGCCCCAAACACATGCACGAGGTTGTAAATCCTGCCTGGCTTTGTTTCTCGTTTTTTATCAAGTATTTTGCAATGCAAATACTCCGCTCCAGATCGCTGTCTCTTGGCACCTTCTGAAGGCCTAAAGGGGAAGGGTGTCTCCATTGCTTGTTCTGATGAAAATTAGCGATGCAATAGTCTAAAGATTTTGTTCTGCTTTAGATTTGCCTATGGGGAACTGTCCTGTCAGCTAAGCCGTGTGTTGTGCTGCAATTGAGATGCATCTCTCTGCTTCCTTGTTATCCCTAGGATGGCTGGTTTTCCTATGGGGTGCTAAGTGACCTCAGCTCCCATGGGAGCACTGGGCACTTGGCGTTTAGCGTTTTGATGTCCTGGTCCGGGGACCCCTCGGGGGTCCACAGACTATGTCTAAGGGGTCCTTGAAAGATGACTAGGATCAATCAAATGTATGCGAATGCCCACCTTTACATTCAAAGGGGTCCGTACCTCCATTTGAAATTACCAAAGGGGTCTGCAAATAAAAAAAAAAGGTTGAAAACCAATGTCCTGGAGGACTGGCTGAGGTCTGCTGGGCCATCAAGTCCAGGTCGCTAGTAATTGTTAACAACTCCTCAAACCACCACTTTTTAGTTGCGAGTCATTTCCCACATTCTCCTTTACACAGACCGCCAACGTGGCAGAGATTTCTTCGTGCACCGATTTAAAACCTCTGGTCGATATTCAGCATTCGTTGTCTTAAAGACAAGTACGTGCCGTAGCAGTTCACTGTTTGCAATTTTATTTTTTGCAACCGAGATCATCTTACATCCCACTGCAGTTTGGGGGTTTTCAGCGACATGCATGTTTTGGCTGGAGCTAGAGGAAAGCACAAGGTGAAACAGCGAGCGGGTTTCTGCACATACGGGGCCGAGTCCTGATTCAGAACGGGCAGTGATGTCCGTGGAAATGGGCTACCAGGATGCCGCCCCTGAGTTTTCAGCATGGCGGTGCTCGCTGCACCAGGCGGTACCTAATTCTGTAACAGGCTGAATGAGGAGCCCGCTGCCTCGTGACTTCCGCTCCTCATAGGGAGAGTCGACCTGGAGGGCTTGCAGAACAGAAGTGTGGACTGCACGCTTGTCAGCACATTTTTTTTCTGCCGAAGGCACACTTCTCCTTTTGGCTTCTAGGAGACTGAAATCCCTGGCCTAGGTGCATGCATTTCTCCTTTTGATGCAAGAGCGTTTGAAAGCTTTTGAAAGCTGACATTCTTCACAGGAAGCCTGGCTTGCACTAGGGCTGTGCTAAATACATCGGTGTTTCTATAATTGCTTCTGTCTTCAGGATTAGCCAGCATGGCTGCAGAAACAAGCAGATGGGTTACCAGCCACAGCACCCTGGTTGAGAATCAGTGATCTAGGCGCTATCTGCTGAGCCTTTGATGATGATGATGATGATGATGATAATGATAACAATAGTGCCCTGCGGTCCTATCCATATTGGTGCCCTGTTCTTTCAGGGGCAGAATCCAGATCTGCTCCACTCACCATTTTCAAACTGCATTACCTGCTGCTAGGCAGCCCCTACCTTCCCCTCTTAATCTCACCTGGTACCCTTGAGCAGAGAGCGATTTAATGTCCCCATCACTAAAGTCACTCTTGCAGTCTCTGGCATCTGGCATTGCTTTGGCTGTCTGGGCTGCCGAAAGCATCGTGGCAAGGCAGGCTGGCAACGGGCACGCAAAGATCTGTGCAAGCCCTGCGGCACATGCCAAAATGCACCTCTTGACGTCCTTGAGGCTTGTCTGGACTGGGGTTTAAAGCTGTCACGACAGGTCTGCCAGCATGTTATAGGAGGCTCCCGTGGACAAGACGGAAGAAAATTTACCTGCTCGGCTGGCTGCCTGCCTCAAAATCCAGGCCTCGACTTGACCGGCTTTGCGTGGGGATCAAACCGCAGCACAGGTGTGAGCCACACCGTCTTCGCTAACACACCTTGTAGAAGTCAGGCTACCAGCTCAGTGCCAAAAGGGATGAGTGAACTTCGAGAGCAACCCCAGCGCGAGATCCCAGGGCATACGTGCCTTCAGTACCGTCAGCTGAAGTGAAGTCCCAAACTGGGGGGAGCAAAGGGGACAGGGCAGGATATTTTCGCCGTAGTGAAGAAAAACCTATCGTTTGGCTGGGTGCGATGGCATTGTATTCTCCATCTGTGCACTGGCCCTCATCATATGACACTGCAGCTGCCCTCATCCTATCTGCTGGCGTTAAAAGAGTAAAGATGGAGTTCCTAAAAGAAAGTTTCCCCCCCTGCATGGGATTTCAGTGATTTCCTGTTACCTGCAGAGCTCTCCTTTGGCAGGGTCAGGCTAAGGCCTTGCATTTTCTCATTCTTTGCTGCTTGGCGGTTCTTTTAATAAAGATCAATTTGTCTTCATCAGTCTCTTCCCCAAGTGAAGTTGTCAACTAACCTAAAAAGGCTTCCACAGCAACATCCCTTAAGGATGAATTGTAGCATCGTTCCACTCATTAAGAATAACCTTTCAACCTGGAACATTCAGTTGACTTGTCTCCTTAGATTGAAAATGGCAAGGTGAAATATTATGCAACTTCGCAAATGTATTGGAAAAATACCGGCGGCTTCAACCCAGCAGAAGTAACCGAAGGCAACGTAGCGCGGCTACCAGACCTCGCGTAGCCTCAGAGTTTTGTGCAGCCAATGCATGCTTCGGTGCATCTTGCCAAACCTTTCATACCAGACTCCGCCGTCCCCTCCCTACATAAAATATCTCTGCAACCGACTGTCAGGAAAAAGCCTGCAGTCATAAGATAAATGCTCTTTTATTTGTTCGTGACGGGTTAAAAGCTAATGGTGTCTTGATAGATGGAAAATCTTGTCTGCTATATTTAGGATTGGTTACCTAGCTGGCAGGGTGTGTTTGAGCTGCCGATTTGTGGGTATTAAAGAGACCTTTCTACCAATGTTTGACTTTAGTCTTAGGGCGCCGATTTAAAAACTTGCGGTTGCTCCAATAAATGGCACGGAGGGCTAAAGGAGCCCGAGAGTTTCTCTATTCTGCGTCTGCTCTGTGGGTCGATATAGTCTTGTGGCGACGGCAGGGCTGTTATGTTTGTAAAACTCATGGTTTTCATATGCTTCGGACTTGTTAAGAGGTAACGCGCGCGGTGCAGTTGCTTGTGCTTGTTCTCTTCCCCGAGACCAATTATTTGTGGTAGGTTGTTTTAGGAATACTGGACTACTGCGTCGCTCCCTTTGGGGTTTGAGTGGAGGCTCTTCAGGACAAGGGTCACGCGTGTCTACCGCACATGCATAGAATCAGAGAAAAGACTGGTTAAGGAGAATCACGTATCCCACAGGTGCTGCATGGGACATGGCAAACGCCTGTAATGTCCGAAGGACGGAGCTGGACTGTCCTCAGTGGGGGCAGATGCCAGAACAAGGAGCAATGGGCTCACATTGCAGCAAGGGAAGTTGCGGTTGGATATTAGGAAGAACTTTCTCACTAGGAAGGTGGTGAAGCACTGGAAGAGATTATCCAGAGAGGTGGTGGCATCTCCATCCTCGGAGGTTTTTAAGACCCCGCTAGACAAAGCCTTGGGTGAGATGATCTAGTTTGGGGTTGGTCTTGCTTGGAGCAGGGGGTTGGACTAGATGTGAGCTCCTGAGGTCCCTTCAACCCTCATTGTCTTTGATTCTATGATAAGCCCTAAAGACAAAGCTGTCATTCAGCTAGAGACCAGCACTGCACATCCATATATTATTATTATTATTATTATTATTATTACCAGTAGTGGGAAGATGGCAAAAATGTTATGCCCAATCATACATCTGTGTAACAGGCAAGCAAGACTCAGAGGAGGGAAACGCCATGTGAACTTCCCAAGTTCTCTGGAGCTCCGAACTCAAACTCAATGCACCTTTATTTTCAAGGCATGAAAAATACCCTGGGCCACCTCCTGAAACTCTGGTAAATACTGAACGAGAACAACCAGGAAATATCTGTTCATGGGCCAGTGACTGGTTGAAAGACCAGTGATCCAAAAAAAGAAGGATCCACTTAAGTGTGAGTTTTCAGAGTGCAGCTTCCTCCTGTGTACTCATGCCTCAAATCATTTAAAGCTCATGTCTCATCCCCACTAAGGGATGTACTTACTGGGCATGTCTATGCGTTCATTAATGCGCCTTACATGCTGCACATTTAGTTTAGTACTTGCTTAATAAAGTGCTAACTAAATGCACGGTGACTAGTAGGGCCGGCTTTGTGATGCTCACTGTGCATTAGCCTAAGCACACTTTGCAGTAGGCTATTAGTACGGTTTTTCACCGCCGTGCTACTGCGCAGTGTTATTAAGCTCATGTAGATGCGCCCAAAGATAGCTTTGTGGTGCTGAATTGAGGCCTGGCTCTGCAAAGCAGTGACTCTCAACCCGCAGGCCGCATGCAGCCCAATCGGCACGCTGCTGCAGGCCAAATGTTTTAAAAAACAAAGCATTTTTTTAAATGGATACACAGGAAGCAAGTTGTGTGGGTGCAGCCCACGTAACGCATTGAGGGCCGCAAGTGTGGCCCGCTTTGGAAAACAGGTTGAGGACCACTGCTCTAAAGCAATGAGGCTGCTTGGTTTCCTTTGGGACCTTTCACGTTCTGATCAGCGAGAGCTAAAGATGTGCCTAATAAGCGTTCAGCTGAAAACAATTGCACAAAACGAACTCTTGCAATTTAACACGGCCGTCTTAATTCATGTGACAGGAGGTGTTACACCCTCCAGAGCCGCTGGAGGGGGTAACACATGCCTGTTCTGGACCTGGAATTGCAAATAGCCACAGCTCCCTGTGCGACCCTGGCCTGGGCAACACAGGCTGTAGCGCATACGGGTTAATTCACGGGACTGAGTACAAACAGGATTCTCATTCAGAGCAGTTGCCACCACAAGAGCGCTATCTGAGCCGTTCGGGGTGGGGTGGGGTGGGGGAACAAAAACTGGAAAGCAGAGGGTAGAAGTGAAAAACACAGGTTTACTATACTTGCATCGAGGACAGAAGTGACTAAGAATAGCTTGTAATCATTCATCGCACCCGCATTTTGTTCCGTTTCCTGCCTGTTCAAAATGCAAGGACAACACTTTCTGTTTAGCGCTGGTTTTCTCAGGCCGGGCCTTTCCAAAGGGGCCGGGGAAGATGGAATCGCAGCTCTTCTCTTGATCACCGATGATGTGATTTTCCCCTCTTCTAGCCTGGCCTCCTGAGCCTGTCTTTCGGTGCTAAGCAGCTTTCACACCTCTTAATTGAAAGCAGAACAGCGGTGGGATCAAATTAAAGATGTTGCTGCGCAAAAGGTTTTTGGATAGGACGCTTTTTCCGGGTCCCCTGCAGTACCAGATTTGCCTTTCCCAATACAGCGCCCTTCAGCCTGAGAGAGGGGCTGGATGCCAGGCTCCACAGCCCTTCTGCAAATAACTGGCATGGTTTGGGATAGCGCTATCCCACGGCACCCGCAGAGCAAGACTGGTGTTTCAGACAGGCATGCGACATCTTTAAAGAGAAAAGAAACGTCTGACCCAATCTCCGGCTGGACCCAGAGTTTTTGGGGGTAAGCTGAGATGAGATGGCACTTTAGGAGGCTTTGACACCCAGCAGAGACCCTCTATTTCAGGACATCTACAGCAGAAGGGAGAAAAAATGGGTCTTAATTGGCAACAAAATTGGATACGGTTTAATCTCTGACACAGTCTTTGGAGATGCCTAGGTTTTAGGGATTTGTGGGCAACTCCAGGATAAGGGTTTTTGATTCTTGTTCTCTCTCTCTCCTCCCCCGCACCCCCCTGCCCCCTTGCTACTACCCGATGTGTTTTGCAAACAGTCATCCTGACAGACGAGGAGGTCCAGAGGAAGAGAGAGATGATAATGAAGCGCAAGGAGGAGGAGGCGCTGAAAGAGAGCATGAAGCCCAAGCTGTCGGAGGAGCAGCAGAACGTCATCGACATCCTGCTCGAGGCCCATCGCAAGACCTACGACCCGACCTACTCTGACTTCACCCAGTTCCGGGTAGGCTCCAGGGTCCAGTGTGTGTGTGTGTGTGTGTGTGTGTGTGTGTGTGTGTGTTTTCCTCTCCTTCCAGCCAAACCCACCCATCCACTGTGACAAGGAGGCCATCTGCTGGCAAATAAGTCTGGATCGTGACTTCTGATGGGTTTTGAGCAGCCTCTTCCTTGCTGTCACCCTGTCTGACAATGCAGTTTCAAGAGAAACTTCACCCATAACCATAACGGGAGGTGGAGGCCACAACCCCTGACACCTTTTTTAGGACCCATCGACTGGGAACGCCCAACGCGGTTGCCAATTTGGTGACTCCATGTGAAAACGTCTCCCCGGCCCCCAGCCTTGTTCTCTTGGCACATCACCCGTGTCATGTAGACCCTTGTTACAAAGAGCCGTCTCCACTTTCCAGAGTCTGAATGATTTGTCAGGGCTGGGTGTCTTTTTGGAAAGCACGAAGGAGCCTGGCTGCAAGATTGGCGTGGGGTCCTGTGATTCACGTCAGACTGGATGTCTCTTTTTTTTGGTCCGTAAAGTGTATATTTTTTATTATGCCAAGCACTTCAGTTAATCCAAACTCATGCAGCTCCATAGACGTCCTTGATAGATCCATCCCATTAAGTCAAGCGTGCTCCTAGTTTTAAATTTGGCATGGGTGGGGGGGGTTTCTCTCAAGTTCCCCCTAGTTAGAACACATCTATCCCGCTTGAGACCTTTCACACACGCTCTCGTTATAGTTAATCATCAATGGTTATTAACCCATGTCCTGAAAAGGAAACTATGTGACCAAGCAGAACTGGAAATTGGGATCTCAAAGTAAAAATACCTGTGGTTGTAGCTACTGGAAGTAGACTTTGAAATGTTTCTCATTCAGGTTTGGGACATTACCATGAAAATATACCATCTCTGGGACAAAATGTGCTGACCCACAATGGGGAGTGGGTGTCTGTAAAAACCCAGTGATCTGATACTTTTGACACAGTATTGTGGGAAGCAATCAGCACTGACCAGTCTAAAGCAGTGGAGCTCGACCTTTTGGTCCCGTGGGCTGGAAGGGCAGTGCCTGGTCTGTCCGCAGGCCAGAAACAGCTGGTGAGCCTGATCCAGCTGTGCAGCAATGAGGGGGCATGGCCAGCTGTGTGGGAGCGGGGAAGAGGGTATGGCTTGGTCCCAATCCAGCCACACACGGCTTGGGAATTTGGTAGTATGAATTGCCACCACTCCGCAACCACCAAATCTCCTGACCCGTGGGGAGCTCTGTGGGCTGGATGCCATGGCTCTGCAAGTCAGGCTGGGGGTTGAGCATCCCTAATCTAAAGCACCATGGGTGGAGCTTCCAAAAACATGGTTGCATTACAGAATCATAGAAAATGATGGTGGGAAGGGACCTCAGGAGGTCACGTTTAGTCCAACCCCCTGCTCAAAGCAGGACCAGCCCCACCCAGATCATCCCTGAGCCAAGCCTTAAAAACCTCCAAGGATGGAGATGCCACCACCTCTTTAGGTAACTTATTGCAGTGCCGAGGCACTGGAAAGCGAGAGTTTTTCCTAGTATCCAACCTCAACTTCCCTTGCTGCAACTTGAGCCCATTGCTCCTTGTTCTGTCTTGCTCCTCGTTCTGGCACATCATAGTTTCATAGTTTCATAGTTTTAGGGTCGGAAGGGACCTAATAGATCTTCTAGCCCGCCCCCCCGCCAGGGCGGGAGAACAACAAAAAACCCTAAAAACAAAAACGGGACTCAAATGAGTCCAGCCAGGTAGGCATCCAGCCTCTTCTTAAAGACCCCCAGGGTAGGGGCCAGCACCACCTCCCTTGGAAGTTGGTTCCAGCTCCTAGCCGCCCTAACTGTGAAGTAGTTTTTTCGGATGTCCAATCTGTACCTCCTCTCCATCAACTTGTGCCCATTACTCCTTGTTATGCCAGCGGGGGCTAGGGGAAACAGCGTCTCCCCCAAACCCTTCTGGTTCCCCCTAGTGAGTTTATAGACGGTCTAATCTGCTCTGCAGGTTCCGTTAGCCTTCCTGGTATCAGATGGCAGCAGTGCATAGGGCAGCCCATGGTCAGCCTGTAACCCAATATCAAGACTGTGATGGAGGAATGTTCACGACAAGGTCCGGTTAGCCCTGCCAACCATGACCTCGCATTGTCGGCCCATGTTCATCTTGGAGTCAATAATGACACCAAGATCCCTTTCCGCCTCCGTGCTCTCAAGTAGGGAGTTCCCCATCGTATAAGTGTGCTGCTGGTTCCTACTACCCAAGTGCAGCACCCTGCACTTGTCCGTATTGAAACACATCCTGTTCCTGTTTGCCCACCCCTGTAACCTATCCAGATCCTTCTGCAATCTCTCTCTCCCTGCTAGCGTGCTCACCTCCCCCCAAATTCTGGTGTCATCAGCGAATTTAAACAGGTTGCTTTCCACCCCAGCATCAAGATCGCTGATGAAGAAATTGAACAGCGCAGGCCCCAGGACCGAGCCCTGGGGGACTCCACTACCCACCTCCCCCCAAGTCGAGTATGATCCATCCACCACCACCCTCTGAGTGCGACCCTTCAGCCAATCTGCAATCCATCTGACTGTGTAGGCATCTATGCCACAGTCGCCCAGTTTATTAATTAGGATGGGGTGAGAGACGGTGTCAAATGTCGATGTCATTGGAACCAGAACCGTGCCATGCCGAGCACTTTGGAAGCTGTCCACCCGAATCCCGAGCCAGTAACAGCCTCTTTCTGTCGTACGCTGCTCTGTAGCGGGCACTGATGTGTGTGACCCCCGCTGTGGTAGCTGGGAAGACGCAGAATAAAGGAGAATGCAGCCGTCCTCTGTCAGCCCTGTGAGGTCTAAGCAGCACCTCCTTTCTCTTCCAGCCTCCTGTGAGAGCCAGAGAGGACCAAAGACTGACCAGGTCATCGTCTGTCCTGACGCAGGGTTTTTCATCGGAAGATTCCTCGGAGCCTTTTGGTTCTTCTCCAGGTACTTCGTGGTACAGGGGCGCCTCTGCCAACAGCAGCCACAGGGGGAAAGAAAAGCAAGAGACAAAGCCTGACATGGGTTTTTGAAGGGAGCGATGATTAAGACTCGCATGCTTTCTTTCTGAAGTGAAATCCTCCACTCCAGCAAAGCCCCGAAGTGCACTCTTGTCCCTACTCATGGCTTGAAGTGCATCAAGGGCTTTGCTGCATTGCACCATAGGTTTTGTGTCAGAGCATGCAAAGAAGACCTCTTTGTAACCCCTCCTAAAGAGCCCAGGGACCTGAGCACTGGCATGGGGCTGTATCATCTCTTTGCCTTGCCAGCAACCAGCTCAGATGGCAGAAGTTTATCAAAGAAAGGGAAATTCGCTCTTCCTCGGCCCTAAAACAACCTCTGCTGTCTCAAGGGAAGGGTCCTGGTGATGGAATGGGTCTTAGCAGAAGACAGATTCCCTGCAAGGCATCCCCCTCAAATGAGCTCAGGCGGATAGTGATGTATTTAAAATTAAGGAGCCTGGCTGGGAGAGAGGCTGCAGCCTGTGAAGCCACGGGGCACCAAAGGGTGCCGTGGGCCTAGGAGTGCTGTTGCCGGGGTGGAGCTGTGGAGGCCTGGCTGGTGGGTTATAGGATGTGGGTAAGCTGGGGGTGATGGGGACCAGCGTGGAGGAGAGGTGAATTTTTGCAGGGGGTAGTAGGGAATTTATAGCTTGGGGTGTGTTGGTGGCTGGGTGTGAGGTGCCAGGAAATGCTGACACGACAGCCTTCTGGGTGGCTGGGGAGCGGGTACCGGGTATGGATAAATGTGACAGGCCATTTGAAAGAGAAGCATTAAAGCTGGTCTTTTTGCTTCCGGCATTCTCCTGCCTGGGCGCAGCTGCCTTTCCAGGGAAGCCCACGATTCCCTGCATAGCTCGCTCCAACAGTCTGCTCCTCACTCTGCCCATCTTTTATTTTGGCCATGCTGTTCCCTGGCTGAAGCCACGTGAGAGCCCGATGCTGGGGCGATGCCCCGGCTACCGTGGTTGTGGAGCTTGACTCTCCCCTCGCTTAACTTTTCCCCTGAAGACCCCAAAGCTTTTGTGCAACCAGTCTGAAACGTGCTACCCCGCTTCCCCAGATTCAGTGGAGCATGGCATGTTCTCCAACCTGATGCTGAGCGAGCCCGAAGACAGCCCGTCGATGGGCATCAACTTTTCGCCCCTCACCATGCTTCCCCACCTGGCCGACCTGGTTAGCTACAGTATACAGAAAGTGATCGGCTTTGCCAAGATGATCCCTGGGTTCAGGTGAGAGGGGTGTGCGTGGGGTGGGAGGGGGGGTCTTGTCTCTGCTTTGTGCTTTGGATCGAAGCCGTCCTTATAGCGAAGGTGCTTTCTACAGAGTGCCAGGGTAGAAAGCCGTGCTGGCGTGAACTGCTCGGAGAGGTGCAACCGCGAGGGGAAGGGGCACCATCAGGCTCGCTGCTGCTGGCTGATAACCCTCATGTTCTCAGGATCAGTTGCTAAAGGCACTCAGCTCGAAAAAGCTCATCTGAACGATGACGACAATGTGGGCTCCATTTCCCGTGGCTGCAGGACACAAGTGTTCTGTTTTTCTCTCAAAATGACAGGCCCAGCAGCTGCGATTCTCTAATCTCCCCGCTGGCAGGGACAGATCATTATTCAGTCCCAGCATTAATCTGGAGCTTGAGTGGGATTTCTAATGTGTTCCTGCCATACCAATAAGGCCAGATGACAAAGCGAGCTCCTGGCATATCAAATAATACTAGGGTCCTTTTTTCTCCCCCATGCCAAACTCAGTTAAGCATTTTGAATGCGGGCCAACTACTGTAAATCACAAGTGTCTCACTCCGACTTCAGTTCTTACTTCACTTTACCATGCCGGCTCCCTTAGCCCCAGCAGTTTTCTTTTTTTTAAGAGAGGAGGCAGAGGACAATTATCACGCAAGCGGCTCTTTGCTTGCAGGCGCATTTTCAAACTGGGGAAGCTGGCACTTGGTAGTTTGCAAACTAGATCTGAGGTCTCATTGGTTTTCTTTCTCCTCCCTTCTCTCCCTGTGTTCAGGGATCTCACAGCAGAGGATCAGATCGCCCTGCTAAAGTCCAGCTCCATTGAAGTCATTATGCTCCGCTCAAATCAGTCCTTCACCTTGGAGGACATGTCATGGACCTGCGGCAGCAATGACTTCAAATACAAAGTCAGTGATGTTACCCAAGGTAAGGGGGCTTCTGTATACCAGCCTACCCTGAGAACAGCACTGGTCCGTGACAGCTCTGTGACATGAGGGAGGAGGAAACTGTGTCCAGGTCTGATTCTCCAGGCCTTAAATGCAACAATTTGTTGATTCCACTTTGAGGATGTAACTGGAGATTCGTGTAGGTTTGGGGAGGATACAAAGATACAGCAAAAAACAGACAGATGAGCTGACTGATGCTGCATGAGAGCTGTGCATTACTTACCTCCTACATGAGCCCCATGAGCACTGCAAAAGATGCACATTGAACACTATGAACGTTGAACGATCCAATCAGTAATTGGAAAATAACCATTCGAATATTGAAAAACAGCAGATGTCTGGGGAAAGAGATGGATCCCCTAATCTCTTAGGGCATGATGTGATGCCAAGAAGTTCTCCCTGCAGGCATTATCCCCTCCTCCTCCACCTATTTCTACTTGTTTTAGTGTTCCCACTCCCAAAAAAGGAGCCGGTGTTCAATGCTTTGCGCTTAGCTGGTGTCTCACTTACCACAGGGGCTAACTGTATATTAAACATTTTTAAGGAGCTAAGTACAACCTTGGAGTCAAGAAGATTTGCCTGAAAAGTGAAGTTAAGGAGCTCAGGCTGTTTAGTTTATTGGAGGGGAGGTCAAGAGGCAACTCGATCAGTCTTACACGCACACACACAAAAAGATTGCCTGAAATGGGTGTAGTTGGTGGAGGTGTCACGGGAGCCAGTGGCTGGAGGTTGAAAGTAAAGGGAAAAAATTGAACTAAAAAGAAGATGTAAATGCCTGACAGAACAAGGAGCAATGGTCTCACGTTGCGTCAGGGACAGTTGAGGTTACATATAAGGAAAATAACAGCACATGCAGGGAAACAACCTATTGGCAGAAGGGTGGAAATTCATGCCACCGTGCATGTAAAGAGTCTGCTGGCCACAGAGTATAGATACGTGGCACGTGGGTAAGACACAAAATGACTGTACATCTTCCCAATCCCTGCTTCGCACACCAGCTGACTGGCATCTGTGTGCAGAACTTTCCAAAGTTTGCAAGGGCTAATGATGGCTTTTCCTGAAGGAGCGGGGTTTTTGTGAATGTGCAAGATACCAGCCGTGTGCTGAATCCCTGAAAAACAGACCAAGACAATGCCCCTTCTCCCAAACCTCATGGTGTAGCAAGAGTCTCTGCTCTGGAAAGAGGCCTTGATACAAAATTCTTCATAGAGCTCTGGGTCTGGATTGAGATACGGTGATGGAGCTGTAGGAGGAGAGAGGACCTCCTAGCCAGAGCAGCAGGCTCACGTGTCTCTGTAAAACCAAGCAGCAAATGCTTAGTTGCTTCCTCTGTCAGGAGACCTGGCATTTAGAAATCATCAAATGATAGAAAATGGGAAGGGACCTCAGGAGGTCCCTCAGGAGGTCCTGAGGTTGGAAGGGACCTCAGGAGGTCCAGCAGGACCAGCCCCAACTACATCATCCCAGCCAAGGCTTTGTCAATCTGGGCCTTAAAAACCTCCAAGGGTGGAGATGCCACCACCTCTCTGGGTAACCTGTCCCAGTGCTTCAACACCCTCCTAGCGAGAGAGTTTTTTTCTAATATCCGACCTAAACCTCCCTTGGTGCAGTTTGGTGAAGAAACATTCAGCCTTGGCCATTGACCAAACTGCCCCCACTGAGCTAAGGGACGTGCCCACCCCTGTATCACTGTGACATTGGGCTTTGCTGGTACCGATGGGAAAGAGCTGCCCTGACAGGTGCGTTTTGTTGTCTTCTAGCGGGTCACAACATGGAGCTGCTGGAGCCACTTGTGAAATTCCAGGTGGGCTTGAAGAAGCTGAACCTGCACGAAGAGGAACACGTGCTCCTCATGGCCATCTGCATCCTCTCGCCTGGTAAGAGGCACGTCCTCTGCTCCAAGACCGCATGGGAGCAGCTCGCATCCGCACCCAGGAAATGTGGCCTACAACACTCATGGCTAGGACCCTGCAGAGCCTGGCCCATGACTTCAGCTCCCTCAGACACTGCTGAGTGCGAGAGAGAGACAGACACAGGGTGTGATCTTGCAGTCAGCAGGTCAACCTAAGCTGGATTCCCCTTCCCTGTGAAAGAGAGGAGAAGGCCAATAGGGCCGTCTGGATTCTAGAGACAGCTCCTTTCTTTGGCCAGAAATAGCCCTTTTTTTTCTTTTTGGTGATCTTCTCCTGGGCAGGCTGCAAAAAGTATTGTTTGCCGGAGGATTTGGGAGAGGGTCGTGAGCCTGCACCCTCAGCGTGGGGATGGAAAAAGGATCCGGCTGAAGACATGGGTGGTGACAGTGCAAGGGTGCTGAGAGCGGTGGGTGGATGCGATGAATACTCGGTTATCTTAAATAAGTGGTCGCCTCTTCAGTCCTCCCTACAACATGAATCTGGCCCCTAGGGTCAGATAGGCCCTCCAGGTTAGTTTGGTCCAGCCCCCTGCTCAGATGCAGGATTCATGGTCCCTAAAGCATCCCGGACACCAGCATCCCCAGCTCCTGAAGCCCTTGGAGACTGGACAAGCACCTAGCTGGGGTTGTCTGACCCGAGCGCTCGTTCCTGCCCAGAGCAGGGGGTCTGAGGTCCCTTCCGACCCCAATCTATGAACATCCCTGGACAGCCTGTCCCGTTGTCCAGCTGCCTTGACAATAAGGACACTTCTGCTGGGTTTGATCTAATTCTATGATGGTGTTTCCTAGACCGCCCCGGCGTGCAGGACACCGCGCTAGTGGAGACCCTTCAGGACCGCCTCTCCAACATCCTGCAGAGCTACATCCAGTGCCAGCATCCTCCCCCGGGCAGTCGCTTGCTCTATGCCAAGATGATCCAGAAGTTGGCGGATCTGCGGAGCCTCAACGAGGAGCACTCCAAACAGTACCGCTGCCTCTCCTTCCAGCCGGAGCACAGCATGCAGCTCACGCCACTGGTCCTGGAAGTCTTCGGCAATGAAATCTCCTGATTCTTTTTCTGGATGCAGGGATAAGCACCCAGAAATAAAAGGATAAGTCAGGCCAGCTTCCCTTAGGTGAGCAAATTGAGAGGGGTGCCCCTTCACGGGGGGTTGTATATAGGCAGATCATTTTCACACTACTGGAAGTCCTGTGTCGTCTGCACAGCAGCAGTCGCCTGGGTCAGCTTTCTGCAGAGCGGCAAGCAACCCAGCCAAGCATTTATTTTCCCCCTCCGTTGAGTGGCTTTTCTCCTTCCCTTCCTTCTGGAAGCGGCTGATTTAACCCTTTCTGGATGTCGTAAGGCTGGCTGCAACCTTCATGCTCGGACCCTGCCTCACACCAACTCCTACTTTATTTTATTTTTATTCTTTGTGTGTTCTACAAAGGAAAACCTCAAACTGGCAGCTCCGATGCTGGGCCACGTGGAAGAAGGAATGAGTGGGGACTTCTCACAAACTGATGTTCCTGGCTGAGAGGAAGGGTGTCCTTTTTCTAGCTCTCCCTCCGTTCCCCTTCCTAAAACACTTGTACCTGGGTGCCATTCAAGTAGGGTTTCTGCCTCGTTCCATCCCAAAGTCAATCCCCACATGTGAATCCCTGCCTTCTGCCGCTGGCTGCAAAGCACCACTTGTTCAGCGCTAAAAAGAGTTTTTGATCTAGGAAGAATGTCAAACTTGCCTTTGGTGGGACTGATTCCTTGCATCTCCGTCTCAGAGAGAGCTTTGTTTGCCAGGCGCGTGCAATCAGAGGATGCTCCAAAGCCATGGTACGCTGTGGTCACTGCATCACCGTTAACATGACAAACGGACAGGATGTCTGAGCTCACCCGGTCTCAGGGATTGCGGTGTTGAGTGCCATGCAGGTGTGTGAGAGAGCAAGAGGAATCCACGCTAGCCAACAAGCAGTGCCAAGTCTGCTCCCGCCATGTTTCAAACACTACTAGTGGGCAAGATGAGAAATCAAAGAACCCACAGGGACCTACAATCCCCCCGACAGCCTGTGATCTGGATGACAAAGGGCTGCCTGGCAGATCTGCTGAGCCTGCTAAGTGTGAGGTCTTATGATAGCTCCCTCTGCTTCTATGGAGTTCCCCCTCTGTGCCCTAAAAGAGACCCCATTTTGCAGCAAGATTGCAGCCTTTGCTAGAGGAGTCCTTGTTTAGAGGATTCTTTGTTTCTCAGAAGGAACCTTTGCAATAATGAAGGAAGGAAGCCGCAGCCATGTTCATAGACAGGCCCAACCCAGAAGAGGCCTGAGATGAACCAGCCTAGGCTCTGCAGAGCTTTTTCTTTGCAGCGTAGGAGCCCTGTTCCCACCATGGGAAGGGCCCAGACTCCACCATGACTATACCAACACTTGTATTGTGCTCACACCTATAGACCCGTCAGATCAGAAGCCCTGTTGTGCAAAGTGCTGCCCAGACCCACAGCAAGTGGTAGGGGCTGGTGGAGAGAAGCAGAGATCTCCAATGCCTGAAAGTCTGACACGAGGAAGAGGGCAGGCAAGACTGAAGAGAAGCTGCTAGCCAGAGAAGCAAGAGCATCACAGGTCCCTGTATGGAGTCACGTGGGCTATCCTGTGTGGCAGAGGAGGGGCTCTGTTTTGTGTACTATGGACATTTGCCATCTGCTATCCTGGACCTCTCTCAGACAGCCACCGCTGCCATTGCAAACAAGATATTCATTTCTCTAATCCCAGAGAATCATCTAGCGGACGGCTCATGCATGGCCAAGCTGCTGCCTCCTCTATCTTTTGCACTCACACCGGAAGGCTCTGGTTGCATTTTGCTTCTAGCAAGTCACCAGCACGGCGCAGACAAGCGTAAGCCTCAAGTGTGTTTCAAGCCATTTCTCCCACATGCCAGATTTCCAAGCACATCTTGTAGGGGTGTGCATTCGCCTGGACCGAGAGGTTTGGGACAAGAGAAATGTCCCTATTTTAATGAAGTGTAGAGTCACAAAATTCTTGATTCTGGTAGCAAAATGCATTTATCCTACAATAGGGGCTAAACGGTGACTTTGGAGAGCAGGGATTTCCACCCAGCTATCCTTGTGGGCTACATGAAATCAGAGTACTTCTCCCCACATTCATTTTAGTTTTGTCCCTGGGGCTGCATCGCATACGTCTCCCTGAAAAGCAGCCCGTACCAATAGCCTCCATATCCAGGTACTCGCTGCCGGAGATCCAGGATTGTATTTAACTATATACAGGGGGAGGGCGATACGCCTGAAAAGCTGAATTTGAAATAATAGAATAGGAAAGCCCTGGTGTGATGTCGTCATCTGCTTTTTCAAAGGGTGTATCAGCACGTCAGCACTCGAACGCACTTTAAATGGGCAGAGTTCAGGAGTGTGCGTAGCTGTGTGCATGTGTGTGTGTGTGTGTGTGTGTGTGTGCGCGCGCATGTGCGTGCGCACATGTCAGTCTTTTAAAATACAGAGGGTTTTTTTTAAGACAGGTCTATAAACATTTACAATGGGGAATTTGATTCATACCCAGGGTTAAAACATTTTTTAAAAAAATCCACCTGTCTGGAATGATTAACAAGCTCCTCGGATATATCCTGGGAAACAAATAATCCTGTCTAAAATAACGCCCGGCCTCTTCTGGCAAACTCCCTTCAGCCCAGCCGTTGTCGCTAAAAGGGCAAGCATGAAAGCGGATCCTTGGACAACAACGTGCCTTGAGCTCGCTTTTAGTGCAGTGAATGTCCCTCCTGCCATCCTCCCTCCCCTCCCCTCCCCTCCTAAGAAAATCGCTGTCTTAATACAATTGTCAGCTTTTTTTGGTGCCTTAAAACACGGATGTGTCTTGTATCCTGGCTGTGACCTGTTGCTGCTGAAAATGTCTTGTCTGCCTCTGCAGCTCTGGACCGGACTCTCCCCTCGCTTCATTCCCTGGTCTTTTATCTAGTCCTGCTGGATCCTGCATGCTACCCGGTTCCCCTCCTGGTCCTGTTTGCCCCTCCATGCCCCAGTCTGAGCGGTCTCCTTGGACCTCCTCGCTCATAGCAAAAATTCAGTGTCTGCAAAGACTTTCTCCGTTACATGCACGCGCTTCACGGCCTTGGCGCTCTGCTAAATGCCTGTCCTCTTCCTGTCTCAGTCCTGGCGACTTTCTGCCACTCTTGGCACCTGCTTCCACCCTCCTGCCTCATCGTCTGCCTCTTGCTGGCTTCCTTCTGGGGCTAAATCAGCGCCGGGCACTGCAGCATCCTCGTTCCTTCCTCCGACTTACAAAACTCTCTTGCAATCTGAGCTTCTTGCATAATGGGGGTGAAGCCGAATGCAATTTTTCATGGGGGTGGGGGTGACTCCTCCAAGGAGAACAACCTCCAGAGGAAGCCCGAAAGCTTTCTGGGAGGGAGCAAACAACGGGATGGTTCCCCGAACGTGCTGAAGCAATTCCTTTAGCCAAGCACCCAGTTTATTCATAAGGAAGCGCTGCCTTGAAAATGGCTCCAACCCTCCTCCCGGCAACTCATCCCGTGGTGCCTGCCCCTTCGAGTCGCCTCCTATCTGCTTGCACCCAAGCAACATGTTGGGCCCCATTTCTGAAGGGTGGGGGAGAGGTCTGGTTTTGACCCCAACGTGCTCCATCTCCCCCCATCCTCTCCAGGCTCCTTGCACTCCTGCTGCTGAGAGAGCCAGCCCTCTCCACGGGTTTCCTGCATCCAGCTGTGTATCTCCTTGCCTTCCCTCCTCCACGTGATCCACCCACGTTCTTCTGGGGCTTGCCGTGCCCTTGGCCCCTTTGCCCCGCTGTCGACGATGTGCCTTGTTTCCATGCTGCTGCTACTGCTTGGATCAGCTCTTCTCTCCCCAAGCCCAGCTCCCGTGGGAAGTAAGCAACCCAGCTCTGGGTACCTTGCCCTCCCAAACCGGAGTCCCCTTCCCATCACACCCACTCGTGCCTTTTACACTGGAAGCTCTTCAGGGCAGGGACATTTATGGCTGCATTTCACCCACAGCCATCGCTGAAAATGATGGGAGGTCTCTTGGTGTTTGCATCTGTGCCGCTAGCAACATCTCCCCTTTGCAGACCGGAGGAGAGGCGTTGTGCCGGACCCAGCTCGATCTCCTTCAGGATGGAAACTTGGCCATCACGAGGCACCGCAGCACTGGGGCAGAAGGGGAGAGCTCATCCCAGCTGCTCCTGCTTCGAATAGGCATGGGACTGTTCCCTTTTCAGGGGCTCAGATGTAGGGGGCTTTAAAAATAGGAGGCCAGATACAAGTTGGAAGTGGTCAGGGAATGGACATGGCTTCCACAACTGACCTTTTCTTTTAAAATTTATTTCACAACTCTCAGATCCCATCTTCAATGGGAACGCGTCTGATGTTGCGGGATTTCCTGTTTTCTGGAAACAGGGAATTTTCCAAAAAATATTCTTTTTTCCTTCAAGAGACCCTTTTGAACGAGCTGTGATGTAACCCAGTGTTTGCATGACACCCATGACTCCCTTCCACACGCTCTCAGCCCAAGCTCAGCACAGCCACCCGACGCGCCACGGCCGCGATTATTATTTTTCAGCGGCTATAAACTGCGTCTTACCCCTATAATTCCAGCTTTACATCAGCATCGCTGTGCCAGGAAGTGACAGCTGCTGCGTGAAGGTCCGTTCTGTGTATATCCCACTTCATGTCTGCCGTTCTGGGTAAACCAATGCATGGAAAAGGCCACGGGCAAGAATTAGCACTGCAATAAATGTTGAGAGAAACTCAGCACGTCAGGGACCAGATAAAAAACACAGGTCTGATATAATCTCAGCTAGAAGAACGTGTGTTTTTTGGGGGGGGTGGGGGGATAGAGTTGGTTGGCTTTTTAATATTGAGCCTGTTAATAAAAAAATTATATATATCTATATCGCTCTATCTCTATCTGTCTATATCTATATAGATAGATTTATCTATACTTTATCTATATAGAGATATAGATAGATCTGTCTATCTATATAGATATAGATAGGGATATAGATAGATCTATCCATATAGAGAGATGGATTGATCTGTCTATATAGATATAGATAGGGATACAGATAGCTAGATTTATCTATATAGATAGGGATATAGATAGATGTATCTATCTATAGAGATAGGGATATAGAGAGATATATCTATGTAGCTAGATATATAGATAGATAGATCTATCTACATAGATATATATAGATATATCTATCTAGAGAGATATAGTTAGATCTATTTTTATCTATATAGATATCTATATATAGCTATACATATGTTATGAATCCAAGGAATGATTGCAACAAATTGCCAGATGATTGATCGTTGACATGTCCATAACTATTTAATATAGGTGGAAATGCTTTATTGTAAACTGTAAATTGAATTTTAAACCTAGAAATCGTATTTAAAGCTGCTTTTGGGTTGGTAGACGCGGCAACGCTCCCCCGTCCCCCCCTCTTCGGCGTGTAAAACAGGCGCGTACAATCCCACGAGACGCTTCCGACTGTGAAACATTTCTGTCGTTGCCTTGTGTACTAGAGGACAGGAAGGCCGTGCACTTTATCTGTAGGAAGACCTAATTGAGAAATCTCTATTTTTAATTATAGCGATGACTAGAGGTGATTGCTGCCTGTTTTCCCCCTCCCCTCTTGTTCGCCTTGAGCTTTTTCTAACAGACACGAGAAGCCGGAAAGAAATACGTTTGAATGTGAAATCTCCTTCAGAGCTTTGCACAGGACGCTGGATGCTGTCTTACATGCATAACTGTAATATGCTGTTACCTTATTAATAAAGCCTGTCGCTTTGTGGAAAGCTCACATCAGCGTGGCCGTTCGGGGGCTTCTCGGGCTGGCGATGAATTCCTGCCGCGCTCACGGGGGCTCCTCACCCTTCGCGTGGTGCCGGTCCACACCTGTACTCCTAGTTCACATGAAGACCTCCCCGCAGGCCATATCCCAGTATATTCCAGTATGTGCAATACTCAGCCCCACTTCACACAGGAGACCCCAGAGAAGACCCAGGAGGCTGTCAGAGTTGGTTTTGGTGCATTGGCTTTGGAAAAGCCCTCCAGGCTTCCAATGCAGGTTTGCACCAGTGGTCCCAGTTCACATGAAGACCGCCCCATAAGCCGTATCTCAGTATATTCCAGAATGAGCAATATTCAGCCCTTCCTCGCTCTGAAGCCCCCGGAGAAGGTCCAGAGGCTGCCATGGGAGGTTTCAGTGCATTGGTTTGGAAAAGCCCGCCGGGCTTCCTCTTCCTTTAGAGGTTTGTTCCAGTCCATACCAGTGGTCCCAGTCCACATAAAGACCTCCCTGTAGGCTGTATCCCAGTATGTTCCCTCCTCAACCACCCCAGGGATGGTCCTGGGGCTGCCACGGCTGGTTTCAGTGCATTGGCTTCGAAAAGCCAGACAGGTTTTCTCCTCCTTTAGGTTTGTGCCAGGCCATACCAGTGGTCCCAGTTCCCATGAAGACCTCCCCGTAGCCTGTATCCCAGTATAGTCCACAATGAGCAATATTCAACCCCTCCTCATGCAGGGATGGTGCAGGGGCTGCCATGGGAGGTTTGTGCCAGTCCTGACCAGTGGTCCCAGTTCCCATGAAGACCTCCCCATAAGCCATATCCCAGTATAGTCCACAATGAGCAATATTCAACCCCTCCTCATGCAGGGATGGTGCAGGGGCTGCCATGGGAGGTTTCAGTGCATTGGCTCCAGGCTTTTGCTAGAGGTTTGTGCCAGTCTGGACCAGTGGTCCCAGTTCCCATGAAGACCTTCCTGCAGGCCGTATCCCAGTACAGTCCAGGATGTGTCTCATGCGGGGCAGGGTTGGGGCAGGGGGGCTCCCTGCAGGGTCCCATGAGGACACCCTGTGCACCGTGGCCCAGTGCATCCCAGTATGAGATGAGCCCTGTGCCACCCCTCCTCCTGCAGGGGAGGGTTGGGAGCAGGTCAGTGGCTGGAAGAAAAGCCCCACAAGCTGGTGCTGGAGGTGGTGCCAGTGTACCCTGGGGTGTGATGGGTGCAGCGTCCTGTCCATCCCGCAGGCGCAGGGTCGTGAAGGGACCTCCCTGCCAGCAGGGGGCGCCCACGACCGGGCAAGCAGCTGCGGGCAGCGGCTTCCCCGCGGCGCGCGCG